TTGGACTATTACGGACTCCTCTGCCGCCATTGGACTATTACAGACTCCTCTGCCGCCATTGGACTATTACGGACTCCTCTGCCGCCATTGGACTATTATGGACTCCTCTGTCGCCCTTGGACTATTACGGACTCCTCTGCCGCCATTGGACTATTACAGACTCCTCTGCCGCCATTGGACTATTACGGACTCCTCTGCCGCCATTGGACTATTACAGACTCCTCTGCCGCCATTGGACTATTACAGACTCCTCTGCCGCCATTGGACTATTACGGACTCATCTGTCGCCCTTGGACTATTACGGACTCCTATCTTTCCCTTTCTCTTTCATCTCTTCCTTCTTCCTCGATTGTGTCTCCCTTGCCGCCCGTCTTCATATGACCTTATATCTATTATGACCACAGGGACCTGAGGAATTTGTTATAGCTGTAATTGAACCTAAAATGCATGTTATTTGTTTTTAAACGTGTAAGGGGTTTAGATCAATTTTCGGTAAAAATGACACCCCAATGATCGTATATGTCATCATATACCTCTGATGTGATATTTTTTACCGAAAATTGATCCAAAGCCTTAAAACGTGTAAAATTACTCTGAAGACCTCTGTTTAGGTCCAATTATTATAGCTGTAACAAATTACCAGGTCAATGTGCATGGTTATGGCAAAGAACAAACACATATGCATTTCATTGAATTAGGTCTCAAATATAATAAACCCCATATTTTCAAGATTTCCTTTAGTGATTTGTGCAAAAATATGCCAAATTTAATTTGTTCGACAACACATAGACACGGTCGACCCCTCGCGTCATTTTCTTAGACTAATAGTCTCCGAACTGGTCACGGAGTACCGAACTGGTCACGTGGTCACGGAGTACCGAACGTCACGGAGTACCGAACTGGTCACGTGGTCACGGAGTACCGAACTGGTCACGGAGTCTATTTACAATGATTGTTACGATTGCCTATAGGATCATGGTATGTCCAAAAATTATGAAGGGAGTGAAATTTTCACAGAACGTCTTTGTATAAAAAGTCAATGTGCATGGATTTAATTATGTTAATTATTTCAGTTAGAAACCGTAAACGTACTATAGACATAAAATTGTCATAAATGATAACTAGCATTATGTATCTACCGATCGAGATTTTCTCTACTATCAGGTCATTTTTAAAGCGGAATATTGATATATTATTTAAAAAAAAACTTTTATTATTTATCAATCGTATAACCAATTTTGTCTTCACAAATCATATACGATAAAGCCATTATTTTATCAAGAAGAAAAACCCCAACATATAACGTTGCATAGAGTTTTTGACTTATAGTCCTAGTATATAGCTAGACCACAGGTGCTGGGCACACTAGCTGATATTATATAATATGGTTGGTTGGTTCATTATATAGTTTATTCACACATTATCAGTTTGTCAAGAACCTGTGCTGTGGACAAGGACACTGGTATTTCTAAATACTTACCAAGATTTATTAATAGCATATGATACTTACCCGTTTGTTATTTCGCAATAACTTGGCAGCTAATCAATGTATTGAAAGGAATTTTATGAATAAATGAGGTAAACTATATAATTAGGCCTAGTAGACATACAAAGGTCAAATTAAGTATTTCGAAACAACAATTTAACCCGCGCTCAGCAGCGGTATATAAGCTTGTGAGCAGCCCGCAACCCTCATTCTAAAACGAACAAAAACCTAAAACAACATTACGATAAAGTATACTGAAAGTCTGATGAGCCTTTCAAAAGTTGAAGTGACAACAGCAGATTCCCAATCTCTACGGGACCAGGGGAACGGTTGCGGACTTCAGGGGGCGGGGGAACGAAGCCCACCGAGGCGAAACAAAAAGTTTCGAAAACCGTCTCCCGAATTTCGGGATGATGGAGTCGGGAGAAGAGATGGACAGTCGTACGTCCCATCGGATGGTTATTCCAGGACCTCCGGTACCGGTGGAACAGACTGGGTGGATGAGAACCAGAACGGCTATACCAAATTCCAAACAAAAGGGTGAGTGGAAAACATACTATTTATAAAGCTGTATTTCAGGGCCTAAATACACATATTAAAACTATTCATGATTGTCAACGATGAAAGTTTTGTTAATATTATCACATTAACCACGGACTTAGATGATCTAATTCTGTGGTAGAACATTAAATGTGTCTTGCAGTAAGCAGTTCTAGCTTGAAAGGCCCATTATGATATTATCTTACATGAAGAACAACTTAATCCAAGATCACGAAGCGATGTATTTTATGAATTGCGCTAAATATTCAATAAAATATCCCCGCCCACTTTCCTGACGTCACATGTGTAGACGAAAATGGCCAACCCTAATATCTACGAGGTATTCATGCGCCGATGAGAATTAATATAGTGCGTTAATAATCGTCTTTTAATTGCGAGAAATTTGTTATCAAAAGAGATTTTTGTCAGATGTTTGGACGATTATTAATTTTTCAATGCAACCATAACTTCAAATTTGATATTTAATGTAAAAAATGTAATTGGATGTTCTTCCGCCAAACCACGGTGCGATCGCCGGTTCTTTCCTTTCTTCGCGGTACTTCAGCGAGAACATGTCATATAACTCCTCGGATGAAAATAGGTGAGAGAATTTGTCGTCATTTTTGGGTCAAAACGTATCATCTATGTTTCGATGGAAGCATAAGGTGTTATATTTCTTATGTGGTATATTAATTTTTGACACACATTGTTAAAAATGTATATTTCCCGAGGTTGATTCCTCAGCCGGTGTCATGGCGGCCGATCAGCACGTGTGACCCATATGGTTACGACTTAAATACCATAAAATATGACGATCTAATAAGGAAATGATCAATGCTGGATGTAAATGAGGGCTTCTTTTGACAAACTATATGTAATCGGTATAAAATAATGGCAAAATTGTACTTTGTGTTGTGCATTTCCCCGCATTTCCTTGGCCTTATTCACTCCATGCTAAAAATTTCGCAATGTCTTCTTTTGACATTTCGGAAACCACTTCCAAGTCAACACATGTTTTACAAGCTGTCAGTGGATTCAGGTGCTTTATGACTCTCGTAAGACTAAATATTATAGTGATGTTAACATTCCTCCGCCGGACCACGTTTACTGGAAGTAATCCACAATATCAAAGACCTGACCAACGGTGAATAGATCTTCACGTGGCGGAAGAATGAGTGATCGCCATTTTAAATGAGCTGGATGGTTGTATCTTAATACTTAAACAGCGTCTTGTTCACATGGTGGTTGTAATGAAGTTTGTGAATATATTTTATACATAGACAATTGTAAATTCATGCCCTTAGCTATAAACTGTAGATTCAAAGAGAGATTGGGAGGGGGAAGGGGGCTCTTCAAATGTAATTAGATTTTTTATTGTCAGAATATGATGACTAATATAAAAAATGGTGTTCTTTTTAAATAGGTCTTGTAGAATCATTATATTTATGTAAGGTGTTTTTGATGGTCATATCCATAAAAGTCTGTAAATTTCTCCTATATAAAATATATGGAGCAAGTAGTTAATAAGAAAAACCCTTGGAAAGTCTCGCTCATTCTGGGCAACATATTCCTTGATGGACACTGGAATTGTGGTCCTGGAAAAAATAACGACCTGAAGGAAAAGGTCTCGCTATCGCAGGCCAAAAATACTTACCTAACACTTCCTGATATTTCACAGGATATTATATACCATCTACTTGACTGTTATAACAAATGCACATCCAAATCCTCGCCTCGTACTTAGCACAACTGGACAAGTTCAGTCCTCTTTTTCCATCCTATATGCAGAATATCTTGCTTTTGTCAGAGAACACATTTTTCTAATTAAAGACGTTTCCCTGGCACCATGCTCGTGGCGTGACGCAACTTTCATAGAACACCTTTTTCCCTTTGAAACACATCTCTTGTATTCATACAAATAAGTATTGTATTTTACATTTTCATGTAGGAATATTCCTCTTTCTGAAATCAGCAAATTGTGTCTATTATAGTAGAGAAAGGTATTTAACATCGGCTAAGGGTGAGAATAACCACTCTGAAATAGTACCATGATTATAATTTTACACCAATGTGAAGCTACCCTCGGCTTGCCTATGAAGATGGTGTCGGAGAACTACTAGACCCGTTGAATCGGGCACATGTTTACTCCAATAACATAAGAGGCCGCTGGTTGGCCTTTTTTTCTATCAAATTTTATTTTGCGACTGCGACTTCTTATTTCCGAAGCACTTTTTCTTTGATGCAGATTCCGCCCGAAATCCAGGCGGAACAAAATTGGCTTGAAAATCTCACTTAAGTGGTTAACAGTTCATGACAACAATGTCTACTCACGGTTCATATAATATAGATCCCATGTGTATGCCACAGACATAAATATATAGTATATTAAGGAATAGAGCACTCAAAATACATGTCCATGTCGTTGTAGCATTCTCTGACCTACGTTTAAAACATGGCTTCCTGGGTTAGTACAAAATAGCAGATGGAATTTCAAACGAATCGAAAAGATATGGAGTTTGTTTGTATTCTGCTTGTTAAACATCACATGTATTCCATTTTTGTATTAACCGAAAAATCATGGAAAATGTTGTCCGCTTCACTTTGAAAGAGAAAACTTATTTTTTATGTCTTTGCCACCAAATTCTTCTCATTTAATCATGGATTTATGGAAAGGAACATTTATTGGACTCTGCTGAACATTTAAATGTATGTAAACACATTAAACTTTTTCTAAACACAAACTTTGAAAATTTGATCGTCAGCATCGGGAAAATCAGCTAGGTTACATGGCGCCTGTCAAAAGTGTCTCGCTGTGTAAAACCTCTAAAAATGTTGGAGTAGCATGGGTAGTGAGAAATGACACCTGTACAAACAAATGAAGTGCTTTGGGTGCAGTTATGGCTTTCGATGCCAGTGATTTTTATACACCCGTCAAATTTGACGGAAGTATTATGGTATGGGGGTTGTCTGTCCGGCGAAAACTTTGTTTGCTCGGCGATCTACTCCTAAATTTATCGACCGATCTCGTTGAAACTTGGTACATACATTATAATCATGATATGAAGTTACCCTTAGGCTGCTACGCGCCACAATAGTGGTTTCGAAAAGTCAGGCCGTCAGTGCTGCGCACGACAATAGTGGCGCTCGGTCTGTAGGTTTTTGATCAGTAAACAGGAAGTGTGAAAGCGGACTGTTGCTATACCAAACCCGAAAGCGTATAGAAGAAGGCTTCTGATTGGTTGTTTTGTCATTACTTACGATATTCCCGGCAATGTACCCTAGTAATAACCAAAGTATGTGGGAGAATTTCAAATCAGAAAAAAAAACGTCATAAAAATGGCGGACATGTAGATTGAAGTGATGAATATGATGGTAAACATTTATTCTCCATCGTCACCTACAATGATAATAAAGGTTTTAAAGGGTTTGACATGGTTGATGTGGAAATACTTCGGTGTAACATAATATGTAACTTTCCAATGAACGGCTTTGTGCCCTACGCAAACATGAAAATATCGGCGCACCGAGGCGCACATGTTGTCTGCAGGTGAGGCCGAATTGAACATCGACATTGATACATTTTGATTTCTTTCTTCCAACTATTTATTGATGATTTAATCATAAACTAGACCGTAGCTAAGATATATCTATATGCCGACTGTGACAGTAAATATATTGAATGACGACCTGAAACCTGTAGCAAATCACATGCAATTCTTAATGAAATACCTGACCTTTTTACTTGATAATCTCTGTAAATGTACAGCGTCTTATGTCATAAATGAAGTTTATAATCTCCGTTATCATTTGCATTTGCTGACAAAAATAATTTCAAAATGATCTTTCTGCTGCTTAAATCCGATTAATTAAAAGTTTCACCTTTTCTTACCTTGATTACCACATGTACAGGTAAATACTGAAGCAACTTTAGAATCGAAAACGTTAATATAAACTAGAGACAATAACGAACAATTTTCCTATAACTTTTATTCACACATAACAACAAAAATTCAAGTTATGCACATTTGAAAAATCAAATAAATTGATTTATATTTCAATAATTAATTCAGCAGTGGCGTCCCTTTACATAGAAATCAACGTAGCAGCCTAAGGGTTAAAAGAATTTTGACTCAACGATTTTTGCAAAAGTTATTGCCCTTTGTTCATTTCAGTATTTGATTTTCTTCTACATTTTTTATAGCATGTCAGTTAACCACTCTTGGAATGATGCAGATCTTATTTCAATGTAAGAAAGTATATAACACTATAAGGCAATCGACGGGCATATATTGTTCCGCCCCGCTGTACTCTTGTTGTAAAATATAGTGTGTCTTTTAAAAACGGCCGAGTCATAGGGTTAGAACTAAAAATTTGAGTCCCAAATATGACTGATGCCATACCCATGTTAAAGATTCATGGGACGTTGCATTCTCTTAATGTTGTTGATATCCTGTTTAAAGAAACTATGAAAGGACGTTGTGTTATATATATAAAAAATATCCTTTCAGGTCTCGAAAAGAGGCTGATGGCCAGCAGCAGGAATATCAGGATGGAGCGATACAGCCAGTGGTTGAGGTAAGTCATATTTGTAGGTGCACAGTGAGTAATTTTAACCATATATCTAGGTATTTAAAAGAAAAATGATTTTCTTCATTTTTTCCCATTTTGATTAATGCATCAATTAACTACATATTTGCTTTTATAACGATTTATTATCAATGACCATTCCATCAATCATCATGAGAAATGGTGATGATCGTTTTTTCCAACACTACTCTGACTTTGTCATAACCAAGTTTAGGGGCCTCCTGAAGAGTATTATTTATAAGGTACAGCTCAAGCCAACAAGGACAAAAGAGGGTTCCTCCTTAACTTTTGGGTCTCTGGGCCCGTAATCTTGCATTAGTGTTAAAGCCTACTTCCAACCTACATATGATTATAAAGGAGTCTTTGGTAGCCGTAACCTGGATGCCCTCAACCCCCCTTTCCTATTTGGGGGTTGGAAAGGTAATACCCCCCCATCAGGGTTAAACATTAACTTTATTTTCTGATTCTACATATACTTTACAAGTGATTTTACATGTCCAAAGGACCAGTTAATTTATTTAACTCTTAGACTGCTAAGCAAGATTTACCTCCCCTTAGACCCAGCCACCAAGTAATTTCAGCTAACGAGGTTTTTAATTAGTGTATTTTATTTAAAAAATCGTAACTTTTTTGTGTTTCATTTGATTGCAATAAGACTATGGTATGTTTTTGAGTTTGAAGTAAACTTTCATTTGCAACCAACTTTGTTTTGAAGTGTTGTCATTTATTCGAGAAATGGGGTGTTGAACAACAAAAACGAACAAAAAACGCAAAAAAACAACAACATTTTCTCAACAATAACTCTAACATACCTAATTTACTGTTATTCTTCTGTCACATTTTACTTGTGTAGCTCAGGAGAACATGTTATCTTGAAATATACCATGCTGTGGTACCTCATAAAGCATGGGTACACACACAAGGGAGTGTCACACTGAAGACATATGAACTGGGTTTGATGTCGCTTTTTCTGCTCGCGGTCAGAGCAAACAGCACAGTCTGGAGTTGACCTACGTCCACCTGCTGTCATGTGGGGATTCATGGATGGGAAGTGTTTCTCTGTAAGCCTAGAAGGGGGGTTGTTCACTGGCCTAGCAAATCTCTTGTTTGTAGGTTCATAGCCTTCAAGCAGACCGTGAATGACAGCTAACCGAAACTTCATTGAGGACACTTTTTTCCCTCCATTGAGAGATTTCCAGATAATTTTGCTGTTACAGAAAGTCACTTCAAGCAGATTACAGATGACTAACTTCTTCCACCATTTTAGCATTCTGTGTTGAGATACACAATATTGTGTTTGTTGATCTGCAACATCTACACCACCCATATGTTGTGTGTAAAGTTGTATCGCTCTGGGGTGGTCAACTTCGCGTACATGGCCGTCATGAAACTTAGATCTCACTGTCTTGGTGTATGTACTGCCATTGTGGACAGTTGTCAGCATGTTCACCTGTCTCTTATCATGCCAACATATGTAAAGTTTGTTACCCTGTCTCACAACAACTGGGAGGTCACCTTTTTTGGGTTTGGCGGTCTTCACCGCATTAGGAACTCCTATCCTATTAGTCCGCAGCGTGCCACATGCTCCCGTCTGGTTATCCTCAAGATCCTGGAATAGTGATGGGCTTGTAAAAAAATTATCACAGTACAGGTGATGACCTTTATGTAATAAAGGTTCTGTAACATTCATTACAACTCGGTGAGCAGCTCCTTTGGTGGGATCTCCAGCAGCTTTTCCTGTATACAACACCCAATTGTACACGTATCCTGTACTGGACTCCGCTAAAGTCCAAGTTTTCAGCCCCCATTTATGGGGTTTTGAAGGGATATATTGCAGATACTTGGTCCTTCCTTTATATGGAATTAATGTTTCATCTACAGACAGTTCTCTCCCGGGATAATAATAGTGTTGCCATTGAGAAACAAGAAGTTTTGCTACCTCAGAAAATTTGTAGGTAGGGTCAAAATTTGGGCTGTCACGTGGTGGTTCTTGTGAGTTATCAGCGGCGTGGAAAAATGACAAAATATTTAAGAACCTATCTCTTGGCATTAATACAGTAAACCCTTTCAAAGATATTAACTCATCAGTGTTCCAGTATGAATCGTAACCAGGTAAACGTACTACACCCATGTAGAGAATAATCCCAATGAAAGCTTTCATTTCCGAGTTCGTGACGTCAGTCCACTTTCTCGCACGGGCGTGAGGTTTTAAGTTTTCAACTCCACCAAGATTTGTGATGTACTGTTCATAGTATAAGTTTGTTTGAGTCACTAATATATCGATAATTTCATTATTGAATAACGTAAGAAAAATATCCGACTCCGATCCTTCCACATGTTTCGGTCCCGAATTTTCGGAAAACTCAGTCAACCACGGAGAAAAATATGCATTATGCTTTGGGTCACGATCTTCCCTATCCATTTCATTCTCAACTTCTTGTTCAATTTCCCGCAATTCCTGATCATCCAAATCAATGTCGGCATCAAGGTCAAAGTTTTCACCGATTTCATCACCAATATCTTCTGGATAGAAGCCCATAAATTCATCATCCTCGCTATCGGAGTTACCGACAAGTTCGTAAAATTCGGCTTCAGCCATTGTTGCAAAATATTTCAGTCAAAACATGCAAATAATCCCATTTTTCTGACATAAATCAATGACTTCTATCACTGTTGATTTTTGACCGCCATCTTGGATCTCACCTCTATTGACTTCCCGCGAGATATCATATATAGTAACACGGGAATTCCCGTTACATAAATTAGAAAACGAAACCTATTCATGGGCGGTATATCCCGCCGGCAGTGGCACACGGTAAGATAAGCGTGGGCGGGGATTCCCGCCAGCCGCAGTCTAAGAGTTAATATTGCTTGCTGAAATTCTTGCACTAGTGTTTGTGCTGGACCCTTTATTATATCAATGTTAAAAATAAGTTACTAGAAACCCTTCGTGCAGTTCGACAATGGAAACTGTGAACAGTAGGCGTGACTTGCATGTATTTTTCACTATAGCATTACTATTGAGGAAAACACTATTGCGTTAGTTCAATTATTGTGGTATACAATCAAGTATTGCAATAGTATTGGATACTTCAGTTACCCAAGTTCTTTCTGTCATTTCTCTGTTGGTTTATTGGTATAAGGTCCAGTGTTCTCCCCAGAATGGTTTGAAAGAAGCATGGTATTTCAATATTTCTGTTAAAGCAGCACTCTATGTAAAATCAAAGCAGCATGGTAACTTTAAATTTACTATGAATATATAGCAGAGAAGATCTAGGATAGCAGCATGGTACCATGCTGCAAAAACAGCCTGGGGAGAACACAGGTCATTTTTGTCTTATATATTGAAGTTAGTCGCCATGCTGTCTGTCTGCTTGCCTATTTATCAAACATTCCCACAACACTGAGTATAAAGTATACCGTAACAGTTATGTAATTAAAACGTGCATACGACTGAGATTATTATGTTACAGTGACTTCCACACTTGACTCCTTATGTAAGTGCAGGCGAGATCATCTTAATGATAACGACTGAATTATCAGTACTAGTAATCACATGGTGTGATTAGAAAACTGTAAGTGTTAGTAGTTTTGAATATATCGATTGTGTGGCATACTATCGACGATTGTTATCGAGTTTATGAAGTTATTGATTAATCAAACTGAGAGGTGTACACTCGCCATCGATAGTAAGATGTATGGTATTCGTTACACCAGTAGTGACTAGTAGTTAATACCTATGTATGTTATTACTGTTTACAGCAGAGTGAACACTCCAACTATCAGGTGGACGTCATTGAAAGCTTTGATGATATGAACTTGAATGAATCCTTACTCCGAGGAATCTACGCCTATGGTTTTGAAAAGCCTTCCGCTATTCAGCAGAGAGCAATCAAGCCCTGTATTGATGGTACGTATACTTGATCTATAGAAAATGCAGGGAATCTTGCACTTAAGCTTGACCTTGTAGAAGCAATCTGTGTTTTGTGTAAATTTATCATTTGTACAAGTTACAGTGTTAAAAGAGGTTATGAGTGGTGAAAATGAGGCATGTCAGCAGATAGTTGTTGGTCAATATGCTCATTTTTAAATCAAAGATATATCTCATGAATTTTACCAAGGATGTGTAAGCTGAAAAATTTAATTAGAGGTGTAGGATTTCTTGGGTAAAGAATTAGCCTGCAGGTAAAATTTGAGAAAAAAAAATCTTCCAGACTTCTGTAATAAATATCTGGTTTTTGCAAATAAGTAAAAAGAAATGGTTCCATCAGTCGTCTGTCTCCGGATTTATTTATGAGGTGTTGTTTTTTCTTTGTGCAGGAATTGATGTGATTGCACAGGCCCAGTCGGGTACTGGAAAGACCGCTACTTTCTCAGTAGCAATCCTTCAGAAACTTGATGTGAACAACAAATACTGCCAGGCCCTGGTCCTGGCCCCAACCAGAGAGTTGGCACAACAGGTACTGTTTGTAAGCAAGGGAGATAACTTGTGAAATAACTCTTATGAGTTTCATCATTTTAACAGCCTTAAATATAAAACATTGGTTGGCAAGTGATTTGAGTATTTTAGAATATTGAATTTCAGTTTGCATAACATTGTGCAGGAAAACAGAAAGCATTTGAAGTTAATGATAAGAATTATAACTAATAAGACAAAATGATATCACTGAAAAATATGAAGCAAAACAAGCTTGCAACACGATTCAAACGTTATATTGATAACAAGAAATTATTTTGTTTGCCTAATTAGCATTTTGTTTCTATATCTGTCGAGAAATAACTTTGAAAGCTTGATTTCTCTCGCTGTGTATATACTAATCTTTTGAGGCCGAGTTGAATTCCAACCCTTTATCTGTGTGCAGATCCAGAAAGTGGTGGTGGCCCTGGGGGACTACATGAGTGCCTCATGCCACGCCTGTATTGGTGGTACTAATGTACAGGCTGATGTAGCTAAGCTGAAATCTGGCGTACAGATTATTGTTGGTACCCCAGGCCGTGTGTACGACATGATCCAGCGCAAAGCTCTGGGTGAGTTTATCAATCTGCTGTAAATCAATATCAAGCTCAGGTTTTTTGCCCAATACAGGTTGTTTCCCCTAGCTATTTTGCCAAAATGACAAATAATTGAGGAATATATTCCCCATCTCAATACAAATAATGCTATATTTTCTCAACTCATAAATGAACAGGCAGTTGTAAAAAAAAAAAGTTAAAAAAACCACTGCAAGCTTTGGAGTAGCAAGCAAGATGTTTTTTCTTTTAGCTTGAACTGGAAAAATTAGATTTCATTCATTTAATACTTTATTGATTGGAGAAGTTCTTCACTTAAGGATTGGTTTTCATAGTTTTGACTTGCATTGGTGTATGTTACACACCAATGCATGTCAGAAATATGAAAACCAATCCTTATATTTACATTTTATGTTGATCAACTTACAGTTCACGCAGAAATAAAGACATAATATTAGTCTGAACACGTTTCAACGTCGGGTAAATCCATACAGAGAACAGCCGCCAGTTGACAGTGGAGCAGTGCAATCTCCAACGTTACAGTTATGACGTCGTAAGCATAACGACGTCGCAATAGCCCAATGTATGTTATATGGAAATAACATACATTGGGCCCAGTAGAAACATCTATGATCTAGAACGTGCAGTGGAAATAAAAATATTACTGGTTATTCTGGGGAAGAATAGAATTTGACTGGATTCGTCAGCCTGAGAGTTTGATTTAGCTAATGTTGGAAGGGGCAGGGGAGGTGGCTTTTTGTTAGTTTTACATACGGAATATATTTGAAACATTAGGTTAGTTCACTGTTTTGGGGAAACAAAACCTGTATATTTTAGAACGACATTGAGTGTGTTATGCTCAAACTCTGAACTGAATATTTTTCTGTGATATTGCCGTTGTAAGTTCACTTTAACTCTCTAAACTTCAATTTAACAGACCCCTCTACCATTGAATTGTTCATCCTGGACGAGGCTGATGAAATGTTGTCAAGAGGGTTCAAGGATCAAATCTACGACATTTTCAGATTCTTGAAAGAATCCATACAGGTAAGAATCATACAAACTTGGGATTTATTATTTGGTGAAATTTTCAAAATTTACCTTCTCAAAAGCACCAGACCTTAATCTTGTGTGTAGGCTCTGGCCGTCAAGTGGAAGGAGATCAAAATTCGTGCCACTTGGGTGAGGTGTGTTGGCATCGAGTGTCGCATATCTCAAATTGGTGCAGTACAGTGCTCTCTTTTAATGACAACAGTAACAAATGTACTGAAATATGCTACTGTCCTAACTTGCATGACATATCGAGTTTGTTGTAGTGAATAATGTACAATGTCATTTGATGTATGCTTGTGTGTTTCAGTAATGTTCTTTGTTTTTGATTTAAGATATCTGTTTGCTACAAAAAAGATTGATATGAAATGGCTTAAAATCGCTATCAGATTTGATTCAATTTTTACTTGTTGCGATTTCCATACACCTGAAATTGTGTTTATTGTCTACCTTGGTCGATTAGTGTTCTGTGTGTATGTACACTACAAAAAAAATTGGATATGAAATGGCTCAAAATCACTGATTTGACTTGATCATCACTTGTCACAATTTCCACCGACCTTTACTGATGGGTTTACTGTCAGTGTTTTGTATGTACATACAAACCAGAAGGACACGATCATGTTATAAATTTGTATTGCAGGTTATCCTGTTGTCTGCCACCATGCCAAATGAGGTATTGGAGGTGACAACCAAGTTCATGCGAGACCCCGTTCGCATCTTGGTGAAGAAAGATGAACTTACCCTTGATGGTATCAAGCAGTTTTATGTCAATGTGGAAAAAGAGGTAAACTTTAACATCCAATCAAAATAATTAAATCTGAGTCAATATCAAGTAGTTTCTAATAAAATACATAGATTATAACATAATATGCTTTACATTTCATGGCCCATTTTTTAAAATTTTGAACAGACAATTCATGCCAGGTTTTTAAGACTAGACATGTAGTGTTTAAAGGTCTGATGATTGCCGACAAAGTTCATGATATGGTTTTGTACCTACCTGCCCAAAAGCGCAAGTCCTTATCATTGTGTTTTGCCTCTGGCTGTCAGTTGGAAGGATAACAAAATTTGTGCCATTTGGGCAAGGTTTGTTGGCATCTAGTGTTGGTAACCAACCACAGTTACTACAGATTTTACTGATTAAATGTACAGGCCCAAGGACAAAATAATATAGCTGAACATTTTATGCTGTGAATGTTCCAGGATATTGAGGAAAATCTAGAGTATTCCTGATTTGGCTTTAAAAAAACCTTGAAATTTGGGATCTTGCCTCCAAGTCTAGAAATTTGGTTTAAATTTAGGGTGTTTTGTATTGTATAGTAGAGGAATGTGTTGTTTTCTTTGGGAACATTTCTGGTTACTTAAGTTGTATGCTAACATACTTTATATGAATATATGATGCCACCTTGATTGCCAAGAATTAATGGTGATGATAAAAAATTAAAGATATTGAAATCAAAATGTAGTTTGTACCTACCTTCCCAAAAGCACCAGACCTTAATATTGTGTGTAGGCTCTGGCCGTCAAGTGGAAGGAGATGAAATTTCGTGCCACTTGGGTGAGGCGTGTTGGCATCTAGAGTCACAAATCTCAAATTGGTACTATACACTAACTTTTGAAAGAAAATATTGTTATAAATCGGTAAATTGAAGAATAAAATTTGTTAATGCAAAATGATATCAACCTGTCCTTTTAATTTGTTGAATGCTAGATCATGAGTCGTTATTAGATGATGGGAATTTAAAGAATTTCAACTTTAGATATTACTAGGTTAGCTTTTGGAGATTTTATGGTAATAGTCTTATCAAATATCTATTACGGAAGTGTAATTTAGATTCTATTTATTAATAGGGGACCCATCATTTGAATGAGTATTTTACGGACCTGACAATTTGGGGGTGGGGGGGTAAATAAAGCGCTGCTTTATAATGGAATTAATGGTAATAATAAAAAAATAAATATATTGAAATCAAAATGTAGTTTGTACCTACCTTCCCAAAAGCACCAGACCTTAATATTGTGTGTAGGCTCTGGCCGTCAAGTGGAAGGAGATGAAATTTCATGCCACTTGGGTGAGGCGTGTTGGCATCTAGAGTCACAAATCTCAAATTGGTACTATACACTAACTAAGAAAATATTGTTTGACTGGAAGCATCCCTAGGTGGTGGGGATTCAAAATTGTACAAATGATGGGGCTAAGGGGCGGTGCAGAAAAGGGGCAATTTGGCTATACTGCTTTAAACGACTTCTTCACTGGAACTGAGAGATGGATATCAACCATATTTGACTGGAAGCATCTCTAGGTGGTGGGGATTTAAAATAGTACAAATGGTGGGGCTGAGGGGCAGGGGCCAAATGGAGTCAATTTTGCGATAATGCTACAAACGACTTCTGTAGAACTGTTTAACTGGATATCAATCATATTTAATCAAAAGCATTCTTGGGAGGCAGGGATTCAAAATTGTACAAATAGTGTGGCTGACCCCCCAGGGGGCTGAGGGATGGTCCAAAAAGGGTTATTTGGCTATATTGCTTTAAGCTACTTCTCTGGAACTAAGAGATGGATATCAACCATATCTGACTTGAAGGTTCCCTAGGTGGTGGGGATTTAAAATTGTACAAATGGTGGGGCTGAGGGCTGGGCCGAAAGGGGGCAATTTGGCTATATTGCTATAAACAACTTCTGTAGAACTATGCCATGGATATTGATCATATTTGGTCGGAAGCATTCATGGGAGGCAGGGTTCAAAATTGTACAAATGGTGGGGCTGACCCCCTGGGCTAAGGGGTGGGGCCAAAAAAAAAGTGTATTACTTGGAAATGGTTGAGATCCCCACCATATAACCATGGTATACAATTGCTGAGTATAAAGAGAAGAATGCACATTAGCTTCCAGGAGGGCCCTAGGCTCTGGCCCCACCCTTGGAGACATAGTCCCTGGGCCATAACTGTTGAGATCCCCATGGGCCATAACTTTAAAACTGTTGAGATCCCCAACCCAAAACTATATATACAAATGCTGGGCATAAAGAGACGAATGCAGTCATGATATTAGAGTTGACCCCAGGGTCTGTCCCATCCTTGCAGACTTAACCCCTGGGACGTAACTTTGAAACAGTTGGGGATCCCCACCCCAAAACTATATATACAAATGCCGGGTAAATAAGTCGCTGCTTGATGTTTTGATGGTCAACCATTCAAGATAAAAACCTTAACAATCATTTCTAGTTCACTTTGAAGACATGCGATAATTGCCCATAACCAGGCATTATACATATTGGGAGACAATTGTATCAAAACACCATTTAGCACATACTTCCCAAAAAGCGCACCAGACCTTAAAATTGTGTGTGGGCTCTGGCCGTCCAGTGGAAGGAGATAAAATTTGTGCCATTCTAGTGAGGCTTGTTGGAGTCTCAAGTCTCAAGTTGGTGCCTTACAATAAGTTCATAGGAACAGACCTAATCAAGTATACGTGGAATTGAAAGTTTTACACTTTAAAAGTATAAATGGGGAAAGTCTTTTTACAAACAAATAATACTCTAAATCTTTCTAAACTCCCACCAAAAACAGAGCATATTATGTTATAACTTTGTGTGTCCATCCATCAGTATTACTTTGTGACTTTCAATTATCCCATAGTTTATTTATTGTCGGAAACCTCTAGACTAGAAACCATAAGCTTATGGTATATCTTTTCAGAATGATAAAGAAGTTTAATACAGATTGACGGATGTCACAAAGCTTTTAGAAAAATGCGCAAAGATGCTTCTTACAAATGTGTTTACCCGCCTTTGTCTTTTTAGGATTGGAAGTTGGATACCCTGTGTGACTTGTACGAGACATTGACGATCACACAAGCTGTCATCTTCTGTAACACGAGGAGGAAGGTGGACTGGCTCACCGAGAAGATGTTGAGCAGGGACTTCACAGTCTCATCCATGGTTAGTTATTTAGTAAAAAGTTTGATTGTAAAATGTTCTTTTAAAATAGATAAAAAAAAATCCACCTGTATTCAGAGACAGATGTCTTAAAATATAACCCAAGTTGTCCAGTTTTATTTGTATAACATTGTTTAATTTCAAAAAAAGTTATTGATTATAATGCAGACCTTTGGTTTTTTGTGCGATCATGGATGATCTGTGATGGTATAGAAGAAGCCTGTTTTTTTTTTAATTCTTCATAGGTGATGCCATAACCAATGTATTCTAATAGAAGCTTTTTGGGCCTAAGGAAAAGTTGGCTGGACTTTATAGGTTACAGTTAGTTAACTATCTTGTTTTAGCATGGAGAGATGGACCAAAAGGAACGTGATGTGATTATGAGGGAGTTCCGTACCGGCTCTAGCCGTGTTCTCATCACCACCGATCTGTTGGCCAGAGGTATTGATGTCCAGCAGGTCTCCCTGGTCATCAACTACGACCTCCCTGCCAACAGGGAAAACTACATCCACAGGTAATTCACACACATATCTCAAGTTACATGTAATGTACAAAAAATTTACCCACTTGAAATAGCTGTTAAATATATTTAGATTTTATTGATTAGCTATATGAAATGAGCATCCTTGCAGACTTGCCAGATACTAGGCATGTTTGAATAACTGCATGCAAGGGATATAAACAGTTTAAAAAAATCAAAAATATTAAGTGCTAGCGCTAGTCTTTAAAAAACATGAATCCCAAGTAAATGATTTATTTGTTGTCACTAAAGAATGTGCATGATATTTGTTAAATAATTGTTCCCCTTGAACTAATCTTGGTCTATGCAACCCCTAGATATGACGAGAAGAATAAATTTTTTCTTTTCAAGTGTATTACATGTACTGAGTTTCATTTGGTGATTTCAGAATCGGACGTGGTGGACGATTTGGACGTAAAGGTGTTGCAATTAACTTCATCTCGAGTGAGGATAAACGTCCCCTGAAGGACATTGAACAATTTTACAATACAAACATTGAGGAAATGCCTATGAATGTAGCAGATTTGATCTAGATATTGCAATTGTGGTCAGAGTAAAGCGGAGATATAGCATCTCAACCTGTGGATATATATCGCTGTCATAGCAGAGGCGTACACACAAAGTGGAATGTAACATTGTCAATTGGACACTGTATACTGCAAAATATTTTTTGCCCGGAATATAAACATTTTGGGTGTCCCGTGAGGAACTCTTGACATTTATAATACTAGTGCGTACCTTTATAAAGGTGAGCCAAGTTTTATGGTTATCATAGATATACTGAGGACTTTGTTAATAACCATTCGTGGTTGATCCTGTAATCAACGGAGGACACAATTTTATAGTTATTTAACACTATCAATAATATTAGTGTTTTTTTCTCCGATATTAAATTATTTTTAGTAGTGCTAGGACATATTTGGTGCCTGGACAGATTTTTTTTTTATATACAAACTTTTTGTTCTCGTGATTTTTTTTTTTTTGTATAAATTGTATTGAAACTTGACAGGTGCAAAATTGTGGGTGTGGTCAAGTGGTCAACAGGTGTTCTGTGTTTTATTTATAGTCTCGCTCTCTCTACAGTGAACTTGTTGGCACTTCGCTGCAGTACACGAAAATTTCAACTATTTCCGATTGCTACATCAAATTAACGCTTATCTGTGCTTACTTACTGTGAAATACTGATCAATCAATTTTTGTTGTGTCTCGAGAAAAAAAACTTTGTACAGCGTGCTAGTAAATCACAACATGTGCTGGTCGAATCCAAGGTGGAAAAGAACAATGTTCTGGGCATACAACACCTGCCAACCTGTGAGTTATGTGACATGTGAAAAAGATTCAAGCCATAGATGTATTAAAAAATTGTTGTACAAACCACAACTGTTTCTTCTGACTTGTGATTTCAGTGAACTTCTCCAGGTTTACTCGCATAAATGGGCATTGATACATTTACACAACGATCGGGGGGAAAGATTTTCCCATCACCTCCTTGCCCCATAACATGGAGAATATTCTGTATTTTAGATATTAAGCACTCAGCAATTGTGTTTTTGCATGAAATACAACCATTGGCCTGTTTGTTATGTGAAACTACCAGTTTGACTGAATCCTTGTGGACCTGCGAATTTTTATGCAGGCCTTGCAAGGCTCGTCTGAAAGCAGCGTCGGATTACTAAGCCCAACCTCATTTCATAAACGAACCTGTCTAACCTTTTGGATCACGATTAACTAAGCGGCCAGTCATATTCTTGTGTTGCCTGCCAAGCATGGTGACCTGGGTATCGCTCATCCTTGTCAAGTTTCTGTGCTGTAACTTCAAATAGTGCTTTGTCATTGAAATTCCTACACAAATATCTGAAACATTTTGCATGCTCAAGTTCTATTTTGCACCAAGTCTGAAAATCAACATGGTTGCCAGCATCCATTTATTAGCTCGCCTGGTCTGAAGGACCATAGTGAGCTTATGCTGTGGCGCATCATCGGTCGTCGTCATCAACTTTTTCTTTAGAACCTATCTCCTTCTAAACGCCAAAGAGGATTTCAACCAAATTTAGTCTAAAGCATCACTAGGAGGTCTGAGGGCAATCATTTCTTAAATAGGTTAATTCGACCCCCTGGGGGCGGGGAACTTGGCTAAATTTGCTTAAAAAAATTGCATCTCCTTAACACCAGTGAGGATTTCAACCAAATTTAGTCTGAAGCATCACTAGGGGAGGGCAATCATTTCTTGAATAAATGAGGTTGGTTCAACCCCTTAGGCCAGGGGGGCGGGCCCCAAAGAGGATTTTTAGGTCACCTGAGCTTTAGCTCAAGTGACCTATTGCTATCCGTTTTCGTCCGTCGTCGTCCGTTAACATTTTACATTTCAAACTTCTGTCAAGTTCTGCTGGGCCGAATGAACTGAAAGTTGGTAGGAATGATCGCCTCATGGTCCTGACAAAGTGTTGTTATTTTTCAGGTCAATCAGAAATCCAATATGGCCACCATGGCCGCCATTTTGAAAACCTATTTCAAACTTAAAAACAAGTTCTAATAGGCTGATCTCACTGAAAATCTGTCTAGGAATGATCAGCTCATGGTCCTGACAAAGCTAAGTTAACATTATACTTAACTATTTTTTACTGAAATTGGTACATATTTCAACAACAAAAGTAAATACTGTAGAACTCAGGTGACCGTTAAGGCCCATGGGCCTCTTGTTTATTTATCAAGACGCTAATATCGCCTAATTGCCCGAGTGGATTGTACAAAATTTTGTCTAAAACATTATGAGGAAGAACAAACATTTCATAATTGAATGAGGTTGATTTGAAATGGTACAGCTCGATTATCATATTCTATGGTGTAGTTTAAACAAATTGTTAAAAATTGGTTTCTAGGTTTATAAAAGCTTCTAGTTGAATGAAAATTTAAGTATTTTCTAATCACACCCTGTAATATGACATATTACTTATTTCAAAATCTGTTAACATGGTAACTCAATGGAGGCCTCTGATTAGTTGAAAGTCGGATATTGTGGTTCCAGTTGGGTTAGAACATAGAAATTGTCTGGGTTGAGAAAATAAGATGTACTAATGCATTCAGCTGTAATGACTTTAATATAAAACCAGGTGAGCGATACAGGTCCAATGGACCTCTTGTTACGTCTCCCCTTGGAATGAAGGGAGATAGATATCTTGATGAAACTTGAGAAATATTTTTGATCATCACTCGCAGACGATGTGCAGTGCACTGCGACGTTGACCTCTAGGTCAAGGGTCAAATAATTATAATAATAAGTGCAAAGGTTTCATGAATATCTTGTCTGGGCCGTAGCTTTTAAATGTGAAAGGGGAGACATGTTTTTGTTCATTAAGTCAAGTATCCATTTAATTTTAATATTTCCAATTAAAAAGAACCTGCAAATAAAATCTTTTTATATTTTTTTTTATCTTTTTCAATATTAATGCACATCTAAAATAAAATGACAATTGATAAATAAGGATGATTAATTAGTCATTAACATGCTTTTTAGGTTGATAAAAATGATAATTTGTGAAATTAGAAAAATTGGATTTAAAACCGATGTTTCATGTTAGTTTTCATAAACACAGAATGAGCCGATATGTTGATGGATATTTGCCTATTCACCCTGGACAAGCCCTGGAACTGGGATGGAGAGGATTGACGTGACCAAGCTCTGCTCCTGTTGTACATATCAATGCTGCCATATGCTCAGCTTTTATCGATCAATTTATTCTGGGAATGTCAAGTTGTCAGGTTCAGGAATACTTCAGTCGAACTACTACCTGGGGCAGCTCCGATTTTCATTCACCTGTGGTATAGCCAATGATTTACAGGTCGTCAAGTCTGTTGGTATTGACCTCGGGCAAGTTATTAGTGTCCTTTGACAAGTGGTCTTCGACTTGCTTTCAATAACCCAGGGCTAGTCCTTAAAATGGTAGGCTTTTGTATGTCACCAAAGGCTGCACTGAGAGCACTATCCAAGCATAAGGTTTCCCAAAAAAATGTGTATTCCATAAAATTTCATTATCCGTCAAAGAGAAGTTTGAATCTATGTACATTTTGGATGAAAAAAATCATGCTGCATAAAAAAATTAAAACCTTTTTCTCATTAATGACGAAGTAATATTTGGGTTTGATATTTTCATAAATAGTTTTAAGTTCCTTGTATTCAGTATTAAGACTTTTTGATCCATCATAGGGTGGAAATGTCACCTTGCGAAGGCAGTCTGATTTAGTTCATGGTTTGTTTAATTTTCAGTCTCTTGTTTATGACCAATGTATTTTTAGGTCACCTGAGCTTTAGCTCAAGTGACCGATTGCTATCCGTTTTCGTCCGTCGTCGTCCGTCGTCCGTCATCCGTTAACATTTTACATTTCAAACTGAAAGTCAAGTTCTGCTGGGCTGATTGAACTGAAAGTTGGTAGGAATGATCGCCTCATGGTCCTGACAAAGTGTTGTTATTTTTCGGGTGGATCAGAAATCCAATGTGGCCGCCACGGCCGTCATTTTGAAAACCTATTTCAAACTTAAAGTCAAGTTCTGCTGGGCCGATTGAACTGAAAGTTGGTAGGAATGATCAGCTCATGGTCCTGACAAAGTGTTGTTATTTTTCAGGTCAATCAGAAACCCAATATGGCCGCCACGGCCGCCATTTTGAAAAACTATTTCAAACTTAAAGTTAAGTTCTACATGGCCGATTGAACTGAAACTTTGTAGGAACGATCGAATCATGGTCCTGACAAAGTGTTGCTATTTTTCGGGTCAATCAAAAATACAATTTGGCTGCCATGGCCGCTATTTTGTAAATAACTAATTCAAACTTAAAAACAAGTTCTAATAGGCTTTCACTTAAAATCGGTCTAGGAATGATCAGCTCATGGTCCTGACAAAGTTAAGTTAACATTATACTATTTTTTACTCAAATTGGTACATATTTCAACAACAAAAATAAATACTGTAGGACTCAGGTGACCGTTAAGGCCCATGGGCCTCTTGTTTTATTTCACTTTTGTACTTTTGAATTTTACTTTGTCATCATGAAAACCTTAGTTGCTGCAAGGACGTAAAAACCCAAAGTAAAATTGAAAAGTACAAGGACTGGATTTACTAGAGGCTGCTTGTAGTGTGCGAAAGTTCTTAAAAAATGATGCTCGTTTTTCCTGCTAAATGTTTGCTTTTGAGGACTGGGACAAGTTTATCAGTCTTCGGTATAATGTGACTGGGGTGCAATACTAGTCGTCGGTATAATGTGACTGGGGTGCAATACTAGTTGTCGGTATAATGTGACTGGGGTGCAATACTAGTTGTCGATATAATGTGACTGGGGTGCAATACTACTTGTCGGTATAATGTGACTGGGCTGCAATACTAGTCGTCGGTATAATGTGACTGGGCTGCAATACTGTGCTGGGTGACTTTAACATAATTTCAGTCAGGTAGCACTCTAAAAGGTTGGCATCAGATCCAAGGCAAATACACTAACATACCGCCTACAGCACGCATTATACACTTGGGGGCATTTCCTTAAACCATTCACTCCTAAAGTCACATTTGAACATTACCAAATCAAGACTGGGCAAATGAGTTATATGACCTAGACTGTCAGTACAGTGAACTCCACTGATGCCAGTGATATTTTAACATATGTTTTAGCTGTCAAAACCCTGAAATGACCATATTTTATAGTCCAAATGATGTGTTTCTGCATGTTGTAAGCACTCCACCCTGAATTCTAATGATACATGAACCAAAGATATCAGTCTCATATTTTCACACAATTTGTAAAAGAAAACAAGAAAACGTAGAATTAATTGGCTTTCGCTTTATTTGTCACAACATATCAAATTGTCACAATATGAACTTCACATTTCATAATCAGCAAGTAAAAATAAATAGAAACATCTTCAGTAATAAATTGTAGTAATAATAAATCGATGGGCTCATGAAAATATCTCAATAAATATGACAAATTCACATTATAACAATGAAAGAGGCCTGGGTTGAGTTACAAACAGGAATGATTTGTAAAATATCCATAATAATTATTTGCAAATTAACCACACTAGACAAAGTCGGAAGACTTTCTGCATAGCCCTAACTATCCTGTACTTGGTGTCGACAAAACAAAACATTGCAACATTGCAACATTCTAACACCTTTTTTTTTCGGAATTGAAAATTCTTAGATTTGTGTACACACCTCAATATTTCCATAAATTGTTAATTTTGGCTATATCATTATCAAACCTGTGGAGTTTCCTCCCCTTGGTTATTGGTTGGTTGTTTCAATTCAAATCACCTTGACTAATCTAGATAAAACTTTGTAATTCAACAGAGGTGCTCCAAATGGCTTTCAATCAATAGTAATGACCCTC